CACCCAGGCGCCCCCTGTGGTTCATTTCTGTGGCCAGCCTGGAGCAAGAGACTGAGATATCTCTGGCCCCAAATTCCAGAGAAACCAGTGAGTAGATCAAAAAGGGAAGGACGCTGAGCTGCAGTCCAGAGCGAAAAAACCAGGTCAAAATCCTGATACAAGGGCCCCCTGTGGAACGTCCAGCAGTACCCCGCTTCAGGCCCTGCCCAATGCTGCCGCATGGAATCCATTTGCAAGAGCTTTGCCCAAGCGAATGCAGGGCTGGTGTCTCCAGGGCCCTGTTCACCTCTGGTTTGGACCCAGGAGGGCTGTGAGATCAGGGTAGCAGGCAGGGAGGGAAGGGTGTAGCCCCTCAGCCCCTGCCTCAGCCCTCCCCAGTCCCCCGGGCCCCTGGCTTCAGCTTCTCCAGTGTTCTGCTCACCGTGGACAGGCTGCTGCGGGTTCCTGGGGGAGAGACCAGGACAGGGCCACCTGAGCAGACAGACTCCGGAGCAGAGCAACCCAGAGGGACCATGGAGGAGAGAGGGGCATCCCAGGGGACCGTTTCTGCTGAATTTAAAGAGGCACAGATGGTCAGAATGGCCCTTCAAGAGGACAGCAGCATGGTGGGGGTGGTTAGAGAGAGGACTCTGGGGCCAAATACCTGGTTTCAGGTCTGGCCCCACCACTTCCTAGTTGCCTTACTTAATCTCCCTGTGCCTCAGTTGCCCCACATATAAAGTGGGCCTAATTACAGTACCTTCCTTATGTGGTTGTTTTGAGAATGGAACAAACTAACATACGTAAGTGTTTGGAGCAGGGTCTGGAAGGGGACCTTTTGCTGGGATTAGGCATCCTCCACTGGTGGTAGATGCTGTGGGCTGGGGCCATCTTTGAGAAACCCCTGCCCTAGAATTTTCCAGTGTGTGGAGATGGGAGAGGAGGAAGATGTTCCATTTCAGGTACCAGCTCTGAGAGTTGGATTCCGTCATTGGAGAAGAGAGTGAAAATGTAAACTGGGGCATGGGACCTAGGGATGGTCCCAGTGTCCATGGTGGGCATGATGGAGAAGGCCTGAAGTCAAACAAGAGGAGCCCGGCTCAGCTTGGAGCAAGAGGGGTTTTGACCAAACACATGGCAGAGCTGCCTGATATGCTGGCTCCCGGTGACTGGGGACGTCCCTTCTGCGTGCCTCTCAAGGCTTCTCCCAGGGTCTCACAGAGCTGCTCAGCCAAAGAGCAAAGATGGAAGATGGACTGGAATTTTTAAAACTTACCCTCTTTATTGCCATTGGCACTGGATCTTCCCTCCCCATGGTCTGGCCCTGGGTGGGGGTGGATTCTCAGGCTCCCTGTGGGATAAGACCACCCCAGGCCCCATGGTTACTAAGCCATTCTCAGATCAAGTCTTGCTTTGGGAAGGGAAGTCCTTCCTGCTGTCTCATCTCCATCCCTGCTGCTGTCTTTGCTCCACCACATTCCTTGAGGTGTCCTACATGATTAGGGAGTGGAGTTGGAAGAAACGGGCCCTTGAAGGGGAGGAGGGCAGACTTTTTAAGGAGGTGGGCGTCATGGGGAGAACTAGGAATATATAAAGGCCCCCAGGATTGATGGAGATGGTAACATGTATGTGGGGGGCAGAGATGAGTTAAGGAGCTATACAGGGGTCCTGAGGTCTTAGGAGTGGTAGAGGGTGTTTATGGGGGCTCACGGAATGAAATGGGCTTATCTGGAGATCTTGGAGGCTTTGGGGGAGTTGGAAACTCTCGGGGGGAGATGGGAGTTCTGGGTGCTCTGAGCTGGCTGAGGCACATTTGTAGCAACAGGCAGGAGTCCGCTGCACGGTAGTCATGGCAACGCCCGCACACGGCACCTTGTGCTCACGCGTGCGCGTGCACACACACACACACACACACACAGCCAGGAGCAGTCACACACATGGGCTCGGCTCCACCGCACAGTGTGCCACAGACTTACACACAATGGGTCTCACTCGGCGGTCCCTGGAAGAGGGCTCTGCTGGGGGCTGGGGGGAGGACTCACCTATGGTGGGCAGAATGTGGTCCAGGTTGAACCGAGCCTTTAGGAACGGGTAGGCCAAGATGAGGAGCCCTGAGAAGAGAGACAGAGGGGTTCTGTGATGGCGAAGGGGCCTGGTTAGTGCCGGCTGCATGAAGCTGTGGGTAGGCTGTGAGCCTGGGGGTGTTTTCTGAGGGGGATATGGGTGTGCGTGGGAGGAGCATGAGTGTGTAGGTTGGGACTGTGGGTGCATAAATGTGAGCCTGTGAGTGTTGGGAGGGGGTGGCCCCCCAACACCCAGCCCTAAGCGGGGGCAGGGAGTCGTGCCTATCTGGGGAAGGGGCTCCAGGCTGTGAAGGCCCAGGCTCCTGGCTCCAGCCTGCCCAGGTGATTAGCATGGTTGGCTTCCTTCCTTCTCGGCCGGCTGGAAGTGGGCCCAGCGGACATCACCACCGACTCTCCTTTGCCCCACCCTCCCGTAGGGCAGGACTGGGAGCTCCTGAGCAGGCTCCTTCCCACCCAGACTTGGGGAGGGCTTAGCAGAAGAGTGGATGGTGCCCTACCCACCCCCATTTTATCCCCAGACCAAGTGTTTGTGGCCTTTGGCAGGAGTTTGCAGGTCCAGATGCCAAGAACCCACCAGCCGGGTGCTTCTGGCTCTGCTTTTGCCCCAGTGTGGTGGAGTGGGGAGAGGGATGGTACTCAGCATCATTGTGGGGATATCAGTGGGACTGGCCCAGATAGACAGATGGTCAGATGCTGGAGAGACAGAGAGAAGCCCTGCCAAGGTATACCAGGAAAGTTGGATCTTATCTTGGCTCACAGAGTGTCCCGTTGGGACCTCTGAACTCTTTTACCTGCCCCCTGTCAACCCACCCCCAACAGGCTGATGAATTCCACCAAAAACCCAAGGGCCCAGAGCTTGGACCTAGAGGACCAGAGGGGGAGCAGCCAAAGAGGAGTGTGGCAGCCAGCTCCCTTCTCCACAGTGTCCTTATCCCTGGCAGAAGGAACCTCACCCCAACCCTCCTCTGCCTCCCCGCGCCCCGACAGCTGCCTTGCTCACACCTCTAGCTTCCGTCCTCCCCAACCAATTCCTGTTGAACCAGCCCTTCCCTCCATTTCTCATTCACCGGACCATGCCCCTGCTCCCTCTCTGAGCCCGGCACCTGCTCACCCAGACCGGCGGCGCCAATAAAGATGCCACCCACGGCAGCTGCAGCTTTGGACACGGACACACCAATGATGATGCTGCCGGCCACCAGGCCGAGGGCCACACAGGCCAGCTGTAGGCAGCGGAAGTCTCTGCTGCTGATGGGGATGTCCATGCAGGCCTGCCCAGGGTACTGTCTGCAGCCGGTGGCGCCTGTCCCCAGGAAAGCCCTGGAGGGCTCGGTTCTCTTGGATGTGTCTTTGTTGGAGCTCCACCTTCAGAGTGGGAATTTCTGGGCAGGAAGATTCGGGGCTAGTAACCCTATCCCACCGCTCCCCTAGGGGCCCCCAGCCGCACCTTGACCTAGAATCCCTGCCAGGTCACGCCAGCCTACTCTTCCTCTCAGGAAGGCCCCTGAATCTGGAGGCCACTCTTGGGACTCTTGCCTGATCACATCCTGCCTTGGCTGTCAGAGTCCTGGGGAGCCTTCCTGCCCCACCGGGTCCCCCCTGTTAGCTTCCTCTCAGGAGGGCTCAGCCTGAGCTGCTCTGCCCAGGACATCCTGCCCTTGCTGTCTGGAGCCTGCTCGGCTGCCACTGGGCCTTGGCCTATTAAAGTTTAAAGCAGTGGAGGAGGTTGGTCCAGGGGCCACGGGTTCCTCGGAGATGCAGGCAGCTGGGAGGTCCTGAGTTATTCATGAGGCTGCAATGTGAGCTGCTGCCTGCCCCAGAGGCCAGCTGGGGCTCTCAGCCCAGGTTCCGCTGCTGGTTCCTGAGGGGGTAGGATAGACTGGCGGCTTTCCGTGCGGCTTCGCAGCCAGGGATGTGAGGAGACTCCCTGGCCACATTCTCAGGGCCCACTCTGTGCTCTTCTGCCATTTGGCACACGGGGCTTCTGCTAGGGACTCAGAGGCGGGCATGGGAGGGGACCTGGAGGAGGCTCAGCGACTGGGACAGGAGAGACAGGAACAGTGACTGGGACAGGAGGAGAGAAAGAGGTATTCCACTGAGTTCGTGCTCTTCCCCTTGCCCCTCTGCCAGCCTGTCAACCTCCAGTCTCCTACAGGGAGCAGGGCTGAGGGGTCCTGGTTTGAGGCTGATTTCAGGGGACCTCCTTCTCCTCGGGTAGGCTTGGTATCCACCCCCTTAGTTGCCAATGGGCTGAGAGGGCGAGCCCCCCAGCCCTCCTGGGATCCCTGGCAGGGGGCTGAGAAGGAAGAGCAGGAAGCAGATGGGAGAGGGGGAGGAGATGGGGTAGGAGGAAACAAATATGGGGAGAAGGATTGGCAGGGACTGGGTGCCAGTGGCCAGGGGACATGGCTAGCACCTCCTGTCTAACGTACTTGCAGAACCCACCAATTCAAGGCTGGGCAGTGGTAGCCCAGCCCAGCCCTAACCCATCCCCAGACCCGGCCCTCGCCACCTACTGCATTCTCTGGCCCTTGAAGGATCAGGGCCTCCCTGATCCCCGAATCTGGACCTGGTCCTATGCCTGCACTTAGGCATCTGGGCCCTCTTCCCAGGGTCCCATCACCAGCCCCACTGGCCTCTGTGCGTGCCTCTGTCTCCCCACGATGTCTGCCACCCAACATAGCCAGGCCACGGCCCTCCGCCTCCACAGGAACCCCTGCCCCTCGCTCTGCCCCTTCTCTGCTGCCGCCCTTCTGCTGAGTGTCTGCTCGGCCAGCCCCAAGTCTGTAAAGCCATTCCTGATGGTGCCTGAGTGGGTGGGCTGCCTACCACTGCTCCCCCATCATCTGTCCTGTTCTCTGCCTCCTCTGTAGACTGTGAGCCCCTCACGGGCCGGTTCAGGGAGTGAGCCCCACAGAATGCCCCGAGAGGACCTGGCTTCTGAACACAAGGCAGAGCTCAGGGAGGGCCTGGGCCCGCAGGACCACCTCAGGCCAGCAGGGAGGAGGGCCATGGGCCCCGTGGGAACTCCGTCTCTAACAAGGGGCTTTCCTTGGGCAGGGGTGGGGGCCTGAGAAGGCCAGGGTCACCGGACTGAGCTTCAGCGGAGGTAAGGCACTGCCGGGAGGCTGGAGAGGGGCCTGGGCAAGGACAGGTGTGAACTCAAAGGTACACAGAGAGGAGGGGGACTGCAGAGCGCCAGTGGCCCCCTGGCTGTGTTCCGGGCCCCCATAAGAGGAAGCCCCCGGAGGTGGGGATTCCCCAGCTACAGCGGCTGCGGTCAACGTCCCCTGTGCCGCTCTCCAGGATGAGGTCTGATTATTCCTCTAATTAGGCATCAAATGACAGCCCATGTCTCTGTCACACGTAATTGATCCCCCACTGACTAGTTTTAGAAGGAGCTGTCAAAATAATTGTCTATGACAATGTGTTCCTGAGATGTTGAGCTCTGGGAATCTCAACACCTCACCCCCAGTAAGTGTTTGCATAACTAGCTGGGCAGGGGCGTAAGGCTGAGGGTGGCCCCCACACTGTCAGCAGGACAGGGCACCTCACACTGTGGGACCTGGGCCAGCCGCTCACCTCCTGAACCTCACTTTGCCCACCTGGTGAAGGCGGATGCCGATGGCAGAGGCTGGAGGCAGGGAGGCCTGTGCATTGTGAGTTTCAGATCCCAGAAGAACACTCTAACCTCTAAAAACGAGACCAAATTCGAAATTAGAGGGTTTTGTTTTTGGTTTTGGTTTTGTTTTGACCTTGTAAATCCCTCAGGGCCCAGAGACATAAGAGGAAATATGGAGGAGAGACACAGGAAAGCATTATCAGTTACAAGATCACAGAACTACAAACCCATCCAAGCTCCTTATGGAATAGATGGGGAAACTGAGACATGGGGAGTGGAAGGATGGCCCCAGAGTCCTTGAGAGAACTTCGGTGTCCAGATTCCGTGCTCAGCTGGGAAGTAGCATTTCTCTGTCCCTGAAATTCTAACTTGTCCTATTTGAGGTGGGAGGAATTGGCAACCAGACCGTCAGAGGGAGACATTGTGTTCAGTCAAGGCCTCCATCTTTTCCCTCTTGACAGGGGAGTGTCATTAAAGGCTACTTGAAACCTTTGTGATGCCTGCTCTCCTGTTGATTGGAAATGTAGAGAGGGAGGCTTGCTTATTCTTTCCTCAATACAGGCTGTTTCATCTGCGAGAAAGAAAACACAAGCTTGTCCTTGGGTGATGTGCTTCCTATCATAGGTAAAGGAGGTGGAAGCCTGAGTCACTAGAGGATGATTGTCCCACCTTTTCCCCACCTCGCAAGCCTCAGAGCCCTCCTCGCTGAAGCCTGGGTCCCCGAGGCCTCTGGATCCGGGACGGCGCGTTGGAGGTGCGTAGGCCCCAGGTCACAGCTGAGTTCTGCCACAAAATCTGTTTCCCGGCGAGGTCCGGGCCGGAGTGCGTGCCTATGCTCTTTCCTCCCCAGAGGTGCCGAGTCCAAGGCTGGCATGGGCTGGGGAGGAGGAGGAGGTGAAAAGGCCTCGGTGTGGTTTAGTTCCGTTTATTTTCCTTGAGGGGTGAGGACCCTGGAAAAGAGCGTGATTAATGCCCCGGTCCCCTGGGGGACGGGCCGCTTTCCCAGACTGTTCAGAAGCTGAACTCGGGGAAGTGGCTTCCAAGGCAACTGCTACCATGGCAACAAGAGTGCCAACTGAGGGGGGACCTGGCTCCTGGCTCCGGGGAGCTGGCACGGGACCAGGGCACTGCTGTTCGGGAGCAGGGTCTGGTGAGAGGCATTTGGCCGGCAGGGAGAAGCGGCCCCCAAGAGCTCAGGCGGGTGGACATCTGGAGGGAGGAAGGCTTGGCTCCTGTGCCCAGGCCCCCAGACAGGGGTTAGACAGGACTCCTGCTAACTGGGTTAGAGGCAGGAGGCCTGAGGTCTGGAACACGCCGGCTGGCTGGGACCAGCTTCCTCCTAAGGCCCGGTCCACACCTGAGCCCTAGAGCCAAGGGACTGGCCGCCACAGTTCCAGGCCCCAGAGCCTCCCTCAGTGGGTCTGCCATACCTCCCCCTGCCTAGTAGAGCCAGGCACATGGCCCGGGCCTCAAAAAGGGCAGGGGACTTCCCAAGGTCACCCAGTGAAGAGTGGCAGGACTAGAACCCAGGACCCCCGATCCCCAAACGCAGATCCATCTCCACACATGCCAAGGAAAGGGGGGAAACTGGTCTCCGTCGCTGGCTCCGAGTAGAGGGACTATGCCCTGTGCTGAGGAGACGGCAGTAGGAAGGACCATAACTGCCGGAGCCAACCCCGGCCCGCGCGCTGGCCGTGCGCGCCCGGAACTGCTCTAACCACTCGACATTTAATCCTCATTTCACAACAGGACCAGGAGGTAAGCCCTAGCAGCCCCAATTTTTGGTTGAAGGAACTGCCGCCCTCAGAGACTGAGTCGCTTGCCCAGGGCTCACAACTAGTTAAGTGGCAGAGCTGGCATCTGAAGCTGGGCAGCACGGCTGTGTCCCACGTCTCTCTGCGGAGAATCCCGGTTCTGTCTTCCTACCTGTACATCAAGGTCTTTCTTTCTCCGATCAGTTCTAAGTGGGGTGACGTAATGGTACCTCACCTCACACGACGGCTCTGAAAATTAAAGGAGATAATGCCTGGACATTTCTCCGCCAGCGGCTGTTGCTTAGCGCATGACAACACGAACAAAACCGAAGGAGGCGCCGTAGCATTGAAGCAGCGCCGGGAAGGATGACAGCGGCCTCGCCAGGTGGACCAGGGTGGGGAGGCGGGCTGGTAGAGGGCAGCGCCTGAGCAAAGGCACGGAGGCCTGAGAGCTGGCTGGAGCTCCACCCAGAACGAGCCCAGGAAGCCCCTGGAAATCACCTCTCAGCTGGCCAACCCGAAGGACTGATGGGCTGGGGCTGGAGTCGGGACAAAACTCACACCCTGGTAGTCCCCAGGGACTGGGAGACTTTGGGCCCAAAGGCTTAGATTCTGCAGGCCTTTTTTCCAGCCCATCCGCCTCCAGCGAGAAGCAGGGATGTGAGGGTGCTGACAGTTGCTGCAAAGGGAAGACTGTCAACAGAAAGGATGTCAGCGTCAAGAAGGAGGCACTGATGCTGCTGGATGGCCCCTAGACTGAGGAGCCGCTGACCCCATCTCCCCTCTCCCCAGGGAGAGAAGCTGCCGGCAGCACCTTGTCCGCTGCCCTGGCCTTCAGACCTCCCTCCTGCTCCGGCTTGGGAACTTCTAAAGCCCCTTCCCACCCCAGCCCTCTCCAGTGTGGTTCTGAGGGTGACACAGGACAAAGCACACGAAAGCCCTTTGCATGGTGAACACGAGAGCTGCAGACGTGAGGCACCATTTTTCTTTGTTCTAACTCTGGCAAGTCCTGGGCACACAACAGATCCTCAAGAAAGGCTTAGTGCTGCTCCAGACTGAGGGGACCTTCGCTCCTGCTTGGGCGCGTGGCTGGCCTGGGCACAGGGCACACCCATTAAGGCGTTGTTTGAAGCCGGTTTGTGTGACGGTTGCTGATGCCTCGTCTTCCACCTGATAGGGAGACCCTACAGGACAGAGGCTGTTTCTCACTCCTCTCTGGGTCCTGGCACAGAATAGGAGACTGACCAATGTTGAGGAACTTCATTTCCTCGCCTAAAAAAGAAAAGCAATGATCTCTCCTTCACCTTGTTTTGTGGATCCAGTGAGGGGCTAGATTTAGAGGTCCCAATTAGGGGCACCTTCTCCCCACTGGGCTGGACTCGGCCCCGCTCCAGAAGGCCTGTCTCCCTCTCAGGTTCACAGGGGAGGAAAGGACCACCAGAAAGGCCACAGCTAGAATTTAAAACAGTTTTATTAAAACAAGCACACTGTATAATAGCACTGCTGTGTGTCTGTCTGACTTGGACAGATCCATTTTCTTTAGGCAGCTGGGCAGCTCGGCTTCTCGGGGGACCAGATGCGCCCTCAGGCTCTCTGGCAGCAGGCCGGCACATGGCTCGGACCAGGGCTGCCTGCGATCTGGTGCTACATCGGGCACGGAGCCCCTTCTAACTGCCCTGGACTGGTGCTGCCCTCCAGCAGACACAGCCTCTAAGTCACTCGTCGTCTTAACAGCTTAAAACCAATTAGAATAACAGGAAACAGCTGAATAAAACCTTCCACATGCATGGACATTCAAGGAAGAGCACGCCATGACATGTTCTGGAAAATCCGCCGGCCTGCAGTGGGAGTTTAAAGTCCCATCTTTGCTGAGGGTGCATGGTTAAAAAAACAAACATTTTTTTAAACGAAATAATACGGACTTCAGCAGCAATCCCAAACAAGGAAGAGGATGATAAATGAGGGACACATTTTGGTCCCAGCAAAGAAAGATTATGTGCTTCTCCCGTGCCACAGACTGGAAGACTGATCTGGCCTCCTGAACGCGGAAGGCTCCCTGCCCTTTCCTGAATTGAGGGGATGGCTTCACTCAGCCGAGGGGAGGACATCCGGAGGACAAAGGAAGGACCAGCGGGGGGTGGGGGGGGGCAGTGACAGTGTAGGGAGAGTAAAGAGCCTCTGTCAACTGCCGCTTCTCAATCCTGGCTCCCTGAAGGCCGCAGCCCCAGCCCGCTGCTGCCCGCCCGCCCAGGAGAGCAGGCGGATCCTGGATCTGCAGGCGGGTGAGCAGGTGGGCGGGAGCCCGGCAGAGATGTCCCTGCCGCAGGCGATTATGCAAAGTGACAAGTGATTGCTTTCCTTTTCAAAGACAACCCCTCCGGATGGAGCTTTTTCCTTGAGGACTCCGGGGAGATGGGGGGTTGGGTGGGAACCTCAGGACCTTGGCCAGGACGGGGGGCCACGGAGCAGCTTCCTCTGCGTGCTCTGCAGACTTTGGCTGCGCCGGGCGGGCCGAGGTCCGGGAAGCCGTGGCCGGAGTGGGTCAGAGTGCGGTGGGAGTTGGGCACGGTTCCGGGTCGCCTCTGCGGACTGCCTGGGCCAGGGCCCTCCGGCGGGCCAGGCGCGACTTGCAGGGAGGGGAGAGCCTCACAGAGCAGAGGCCCTCGACCAGCGACTCGGACTCCTCTGCCAGCTCGTCTTCCTCGCGCTGAGAAAGCTGGCGGTTAAGGGCGATGGCCTCAGCTGCGAAGAGCGTCAGGTCCATCGTGCTGCTATTTCTACAGGGGCGGGCAGCACAGAGCAGAGGGGAGCGGGGCTCAGCGCCCTGGCCAGCCCACTCCCGCACCCCCCAAGGCTTTTTCTGGGCTGCTCCTCCCTCCCCGCCCCTCCGCAAAGTCGTTCTTGCCCAGGTTTGCAATCTGATTTCACTGAGGCTGGAATGGCTTTGAGCCTCAACTACAGTCCTTGGACTTAGGAGTTGGGACAAATGTCCCCTTCTGTTCAGAGCACTCTCCTCCGCGCTCCCACGCTCTGCACCCAGCTCTCCCAGAGGAAGGGCCTGGCACATGAAGCGCGCACCCATGTATCCCCCTCCCCCGTCAGGGTGGGGAGCTCCAAGAGCAGGGGCCGTGCCCTTGTGTCTGTATCCCCGGGGCCCAGCCGGGCTAGCATACAGCAGGCACGTGGGTCTGCCGGATACATCTTCTAAGGTGGACCACAGGTTCGGAGCCTCAAGGCACCTGGACGCAGCTCCAGAGAATCAGGCCGGCCCACCCCCGGCAGCAGCATTCTGGCTCACCCCAATGGCGATTACAGTGATGTAAGACTTCCCGTGTGACTCCCGGCACCTGGTCATGAGGTGGCTCCCTGGAGGGCTTCCCACAGTGTGGTAGCCCTGGTCCTTTGGGAATAGGGCAGTGCTCACTAGGAACACGGTCTGGTGTTAAAAGGCACCAGAGTCAAACGATCCAGGTTCAAAGTCCAACTCCCCAAGGCAACTGTGTGGCCCTGAGTGAGTTACCTCAATCTCTATTCTTGGTTTTCTCATCCATAAAATGGGGTAGTAGGAACACCTTTCCTTTAAATTTATCATAAAGATTATGAATAGAATCTCTGTAACGCCCTTAGCACCATATCCTGCGTGTGGTATGCATTTACTATAGCGTGGTCATTACTATTACTGTGTCTAGTGGTGACAGGACAACTGGTCCTACTGCCTCACAGTGCCCCCTCCTGCTACTGTCACCAACCCGCAGCTGAGGGAGGGAACCTTGGGGTGAATAACCTACAGATAAGGTCTTTGGGCTATAAATGGTGATTTCTAGTTAGATGCAAGCAGACATGGAAACAGGTTTTTCTCCTGCAAACAGCACCTGAGGGGCCTTGAAGGAGCTGGAGGGCAGGGGAGGCCGTCAGGTGGCAGCAGAGAAGAGCGGAAAGAGGGCAGGCCGGGGAGCCCCTTCAGGAGGATGACATCTGAGCCTAGAGCTAGGCTCCCAACCCCACCTCCACCCCAACGTGGCTGAGAGTTTGAGGGAAAGTCAAAGCCAAAGAAAGAAGGGCATCAGGTGTGGTTGGAGCATTTACCTCTGGAGGACTTGCGGCGTGGGGAGTCCCCTTTCTGGAGCTTGCTAGAATGGGAAGGACAGATGTGGGGGTAAGCACTGCTCCCTCCTTCAAGAGCTGCCCGACCCACACCAGTGCAGAGTGGGTAGGCTACTACAGACTCCTGGCCCAGCACAGACACTTGGCCAAGCTTGCCTGCAGGGTCAGACCTTCCAAGGAGAGAGCAAGAAAGGACAGCTTGAACCCAGCTGATTCTGCATGGAGATTCACTCCCTTTGCCTGGCAAAGTCTTCTTTATCCTCCAAGACCCAGCTCAAGGGTCACTTCCCCTGAGAAGCATTCATTCTCCCACCCCTGCCACCTCCCTACCCCTGTCCAAGCAGAGGTGGAACCTCGTCCTTTTGTGCCCCTAGCACTTTTGATAAGCATTTGTTACACGATCCCATAATTTATTCCCTTGTCTCCCCCTCCCCACTAGAGTAAGAAGACAGGGATTGGGTCTTACTCATCCCAGTATCACCAGAGTCTGGCATGGGGTAGGTGCTCAGTAAATTTAGCAACTCTTGGGTGGCTAGGAATCAGCCACTCAGAAATTCTTAGATTGGGTCCCCCCTATAACATGGGGCTGGCAATGTTTGTTTCTTTCCACTGGAAGGGCCACCGAGGCTGGCGAGGGCCTGGCAGACCAATGACACGGTAAATCACAGGAGGTCTGACAGACCCCTTGGAGGGGCAGAAGTCAGGTAACATGCCTAACTGAGGAGGATGGTTAAAAATGTTTTCTGGTAAAGACCTAGATCCTTTGTTTGAGGAAAACACCGCCATTTGCCTTTTAGGCAAGCTGCACCCCAGGACCATGAGGAGAACCTTTGTGCCCCGAATGCATCCTCACTGCAAGCAGGGAAGCAAGGCCCTGCTTCTGAGCATTCTCAGCTCATGACGTGTCTGTCTAAGGGGAGGGTGCCACAGGCCCCAAACGCCAACACCAGGCTGCTTCCGAGAATGTGTGCCTCTGCCAGTGGTAGATGCGTGTGCCAAATCCCCCAGAGGCCTCTGCTCATTCCTGAGAGGCAAGGCTCAGTTAGGAGCCTAGTCCGAGGCCAAGGTTAGAGCCAAGTCTATGACCAGTAAGGGGCTCCTTCTGGGGCTACGCCAGTGGCCACTTCACTCCACATGGGCAGGGACTGAAGCTGGTCTCCCTCCAGCTGAGGTCAGCCACCTGGGCTGCTGTCCAGTACTTGCTACTCTAAAAGCTTCCTCACGGCCATGCTACAGGCCTCAGGAGGTGGACTGCCGCCCCTCCCCGGGTTACTCACCCCCTGCACCCAAGGGTGCTGCAGAACTTGGGCAGCACTCAGTCTCTGCTTTGCATCTCGAACCAGGAGCTTGGAGATGAGGTCTTTGGCCTCGCTGGAGATGTGTGCCCAGTCCTTGTCAGGAAACTCATACTTGCCTTCTTGGATGCTCTCGAACAGCTTGTTCTAGGTAAAGAAGATTCCTCCTGAGGTCACGCTACCAGGGAATAAGCGGAACGTGCCTGCCATTGATTTGGTCACCCTGGGTCCCCTTGGCTTTAGCTGAAGCTGCAGCTCGTGGCCTGGGGATGCTACAGGCCAGGGCCCTCCCTGGCTCCCCATCCCTGCTAAGTCATCACACCACACAGAATGCCCCTGTCGGGCAGAGATGGCTAGGCTACTTGGAGGGCTGGGCAGGTGACACCTGGGGAACGCCAACTAGGGAACACAGCCCAAATTCCTCGGCCCTTCATATGGGGCCCCCACAAATGGGCCCCTGGCAATCTGTCCAGTTATAGCTCCCCCCACTGCCAACCTTACACTTCTACTCTTCTTCCCCCATACACATGCAGCTGTCTCACTCCTCCATGTCTTGGCTGGTACTGCCACTCCTGCTTCTATTTCTTGGGCAAGACTCATCTATGAAGGCTCAGCTCAGGTATGGTCTGCTCTAACAGCTCTCCCCTGAACTCCCAGCTAAGCCTGTCTCTCTCTCACCCTGTCGTGGGCGCTTGGACAGAAGGGGAAAGAGGCACTAGAGACCCCCTTCTGGAGCAGGAACACCTCCCAGCCCAGTCCTGTTGGGCATGCCCCAACCACGCTGACCCCCTGGCAGGCCCCGTGCAGCGGGTCCCTGAGCTGTGCTCACCTGGCACACCCTGCAGACCTCTCCCCGGTCCCAGCCACAGTCGGTCCCACAGTGACCTACGAAGGGGGGGTAGCCGCTAAGCATGATGTAGAGGACCACGCCCAGGCTCCACAGGTCACAGCGCTTGTCGTAAAAGGTGGCCTCGTCCCTGAAGACCTCCACCACCTCCGGGGCCATGTACTCTGCAGAGCCACACTGTGGGGGCCAAGGTTGGGAGGGGAAATGGCAGAGAAGACAGAGGCTTAGTCACAGGGAGAGGAGATGGCAAAGAGCATAACGTCATGGGACTTCAGCAGGAGGATGGCACCGAAGAGCAAGGAGTTGCCAGGAAAGCCGGCCAGAGGGCTCACCTGATACCACCAAGGCACCTGGAAAAGCTGGGCTAACTGAGCGTTTGTAAATGGAGTCCTAGTGTTCCCCATGATCCACATGACCAGTTCCAGGTCACCTTCCCATCTTTCCAGGTCCTTCTCCAGTAGGCAGAGGCACCTGGTCAAGAAGCTGCTCAGCTCTCTGCAGACAGTCACCTAATGTACAGGTACTTCAATGTACCAGGGGCACGGGTCCGGGAGGGGGTCTGTGGACATCCAGTCCCATAAAGCGAGTAGTTCTTTTTTTTTCTTTCTTTCTTTTTCTTCTTCTTCATTTTTTTTTTTTAATTTTAAGTAGGCTCCATGCTCAGCACAGGGCTTGAACTCACGACCCTGAGATCAAGATCTGAGCTGAGATCAAGAGTTGGACACTTAACTGACTGAGCCACCCAGGCGCCCCCATAAGACAAGGAGTTCTTAAAGTGAAGTCCCTGCCAAGCTTCTCTGCCAGCTTAGACCAAGGAGGTATAAGAATTCAGAATTAAGAGTCCATCCAAGCTGGGAAAGCTCTTAGAACAAATCCAATCTCCCCACTTCTCCCATTTATAGATGGGAAAACGAAGGACGAGGAGGGGGCAGGGATTTGGTTTCAAATCCCAGTACAAGAATTCGGGATTCTTTCCTTCCATCCTTGCATATAAGATGCTGATAAAAACAAAACAAATTCTTTTTGCTCCCCTCTTCCTTACTGCAGCCTTGCCAAGAGATGCCTCCCTGGCCCCCAACACACACAACTAATTAGATGGGAAGACAGGAAGTGGAGAAAGGACATTTTCCATATTATTGGCAATTAGAGTTAATGACTTTGAGAACAAGGTACCTCAGTGTAGTAGAAGCTAATACAGAAACATTTCTAATAATGTCAATTAGAGTAAGATACAAGCACATTGAAATGCATGTCTTAAAAAAGGTTATTAGGAAAAATCACTTATGAAACATGCAAATCTCAAAAGATTCATAATAATTATAGTACATTGGATATGTACAAGAGATGTCTAAGGAAGAACAGCTCCCAGCTGCACATCTGGGCATGAAATGTGAAGTGAAGGAAGCAACAGGATAACTCAGGCAAATGATCCTACATGCGGAGAGCTGGGACCTCTCAGTTCTGGCCAGAGAGACCACATTGCCCCTCCTCCATCACAGGGGGATGTGCTGAGACGCTGCCAGGAAGAGTGGGACTCAGAGCTATCGTGTGCTCAGGTGCAAAGGGCTGGCCTGGGCTAGTGTCTGTCTTTACCTGGGTCAGGAGTCAGCCCTCAGCCTGTTCCCACAGATACAATTTGTCTCATCATTGGCAGAGGACCTGCCCCAAACAAAAAGCTCCCATGTCAGTTTCATTAGCAACTAAGCCCTGACGGGGTGGGTGGGGGTGGCTTACAAAGTGGCCAAATGACAACTCAGGCAGAAACACTAGGTTTTCCTTCCTTAGCTCTCTGTTCTGGACTCCAGCTTTGGGTTGGGGGTACTCCAAGGGTACAGGAGTCCTGAAGGAGGTGGTACAGGGTGCCCAGCCATACGTACTGGAGTGGTCAGCTCTGGTGTGGTAATGGGGGTGCAGGAGTTGTTCAACTTCACCCCACTGCCCAAGTCAAAGTCACAGATTTTCACCGGAGACACCTGAAAAGGAACGCAAAAAGCAAAGGTTACAAATATAAGAAACCCAAGGACACCAGGAGACCAATGTGACTATGACACAGTCACTCACCCTCCCTCACTCCTTCCCCCTCACTCGCTGGCTCTAACTATTGCACACACACTCTCTCTCTCTCTCTCTACGGCTGCCATGCCAAAGCCCAGCTTTTTCTGCCATGTCATGTTTACTGTCCTTGGGTTAGAAATCACCTGAGAGGGGCGCCTGGGTGGCTCAGATGGTTAAGCGTCTGCCTTCGGCTCAGTGCATGATCCCAGGGTCCTGGGATCGAGCCCCGCATCGGGCTCCTTGCTCAGCGGGAAGCCTGCTTCTCCCTCTCCTTCTACTGCTCCCCCTGCTTGTGCTCTCTCTTTCTCTGACAAATAAATAAAATCTTTAAAAAAAAAAAAAAAAGAAATCACCTGAGAATTTATCCTGAGGTGTCCTCTGCCCCACGCTCTTTCCTCACTTCTTAAGAGAAAATGTGCGTGCTACGTGGTGCCAGGCTGCTGCGCACTTAGTAAAACGAGCAGCAAACCTACAGAAATCTTGCCCACAAATGACAAATGATGGTGTAGGCTGCAGAATCAGAGAAGTAAATATGTATTCCTGAAAGGCTCTTTGTGGCCCATTCAGTGGAGGGTACCACCTCAGGTGGCTTGCGGTGACCAACTCATCTTTGCTTGCTTGGGACTTTGTTGGTTGCAGCACGGAAAGCTGGGTATCCTGGGAAACCCCTCGGGCCCGAGCAAACTGGGAGGGCTGGTCACCCAAACTGGATGTGGCCCCTGAAACCACAGACAGCGTGAGTCATCTCCAGAGCTGACCAGGAGGGCACCTCGCGTGCATGCAGGAGAATGGCCTGCATGGTGGAAGCAGCACAGTGAGCCCCTCAGAAATGCTGGTTGTGGGAGTCCCAGCTCAGCCGCTGACCTGCTGGGGAAGCCGAAAGTCTCTCAACTTCCCTTCCTCCCTTCCTTTCTTTCCTCTCCCCTCCCTTCCTCCTCCTTCTCTGTTATACCCTTCTTTTTCACTTAACCTCTCTTTTTTTTATTGTGATAAAACATATATAAAATAAAATAATCCACTTTAGCCATTTTTGAATGTATAATTCAGTGGCACTAATTACAGCCACACTGTTATTCAACCATCCCCAGGATCTGTTTCCAAAAGTTTTCCATCATCCCAAACAGAAACCATCAGGTAGAAACTCCCCATTCCCCCCTCTCCCCAGTAAATATCTCATCTACTTTCTGTCTGTATGAATTTGGCTATTTCAGATGTTTCATTAACTGGAATCACACAATATCTGCCTTTTTGTGTCTGGCTTATTTCACTTAGCATACCGCTTTCAAGGTTCGTCCATGGTGTAGTGTGGATCAGAACTTCTACCGTTGGGTGGCTGAACAATATTCCATTGTATGGAGGGACAACATTTTGTTTATCCATTTACCTATTGATGGACACTTGGGTTGTTTCCAGCTTTGGCTGTTGTGAATAATGCTCCAATGAACACTGATGTTCAAGTTCAAACCTCTGTATTCAATTCTTTTGGGTATATACATAGGTGTGGAACTGCTGAGTGGTATGGTAATCCTGTTTAGCTTGGTGAGGAACTGCCATGCTGCTTTCCACCGTGGCCACACCATTTCCTGTTCCCACTGGCCATGGGTTCCAATTTCTCCACAGCCTCATCAGCATTTGCTCTTCTCTGGTTTTTTCTTCTTTTTAAAATTCTAACCATCCTAGCAGCTGTGAGGTGGTGTCTAATTTTTTTTTTTTTTAAGATTTTATTTATTTATTTGAGAGAGAGAGAGGGAGCATGAGCGGGAGGAGGAGCAGAGAGAGAAGGAGAAGCACAGTCCCGCTGAGCAGGGAGCCCCATGTGGGGCCTGAACCCAGGACTCTGGGATCATGACCTGAGCTGAAGGCAGATGCTTAACCAACTGAGCCACTCAGGTGCCCCTAATGGTGGTTTTGATCAACATTTCCCTAATGACCAAGGATGTTGAGCATCTTTTCATACGCTATTGGCCATCTGTGTACTTTTTGGGGGAAATGTCTATTCAAGTTCTTTGCCCGTTTTTAAAATTGGGTTGTCTTTTTGATGTTGAGTTTTAGAAGTTCTTTATATTTTGGATATTAAACCCTTATCATATATATGCTTTGCAAATATTTTCTCCCATTCTCGGCTTATCTTTTCATTTTCTGGATAATGTCTTTTGATGCTTGGGTTGCTCTTAGTTTTAGTTTTTCAACCATAGAAAAGGGGCAGTAATCCTGAGCCATCAAGATCAAATGAAAGGGGGCGCCTGGGTGGCTCAGTTGGTTAAGCGACTGCCTTCGGCTCAGGTCATGATCCTGGAGTCCTGGGATCGAGTCCCGCATCGGGCTCCCTGCTCGGCGGGGAGTCTGCTTCTCCCTCTGACCCTCCTCCCTCTCATGCTCTCTGTCTCTCATTCTCTCTGTCTCAAATAAATAAATAAAATCTTTAAAAAAAAAAAAAAGATCAAATGAAAGAACAAAAGCCATGAAAGCATAGTGTGAACTGGAGGCAAGAGAGTAGATCAGAGTGTCTGTGGAGTTCTGGGGCCAGATTGACTACCTTAGTTTTAATCTATATACCCTACTACTTACCAGCTGAGTGACTTTGGGCAGGCTTCTTAATCTACCTGAGCTTCAGTTTCATCATCCATACAATGAGAATAGTAATAGTACCCACACCTCATGAGATTTTACAAATACTTAATAAGTGCCTGGCACAATGTAAGTACTCAAGAAATGTTAACTATAATTATTATTAATAATCATAATGATAATGGTGACAAATTATAAAGTCTTATGCCAGAGCCACTGACAGGAAATCACAAGATCTTATTTGAGGTAATGTATTACTACTCCCCACAAAAGAGCTGTAAGGAGCAGCTTACACTCACCACATTCTCTTGCAGCCGTTTCTGTTTATGGGCTATCCCTTAATTCAGACTGACAATGTGTGTTCATACATACGCACCCATATACATACACACAGAGCCATGAATGTGTGCCAACAAAACCACCAGGGCCTCAATCCCTCCAAACAAACACAGAATCTGTCAAATTCTTATATGCTTACGGAAGTGCAAACACTTCCATTTACTGGTAGGTTAAGGTAAAGTTTAAAATAGGATGCATCTGTTCAACACCCAATCTATATGTTTGCTTTTTAATGGGCATCTTTGGAAATAAAAATGGAAAGAGGAACCCTTTTCAGGAACTTGCTTCCTAATTAGTACTTCAAGTGGTGGGCACTAGCTGGCATACACCGTAGCATAAACATCCTTTCTAGGCAAAGATTGGCTTCACAGAAGATTGAGTTGTTTATGGCTCACACCAGCTGCTCTAAAGACAGGTGCACTGGGCTAGAAAACATTCATTTCATGCAGAGTTTTACAAACTCTCAGGTGTAAGCCAATCACACTGTTGATAAAGAGCAAAGAAGAGACAGGGATTAACCCGATTTAGAATGCAGAAACACTACACATTTGGTCTAACATTCTCATGTGTCCATAGTAATCAGTGCAGGTTGGTACCTGAGGCTGAGAGAACTGCTAACGACCCAACTGAAAATAGAGGTGGCTTCCCCACTTCAGTGTAAACTGTGACCCCCAACAAGTCAGCCCTAAGTACCTTTTCTGGAGACTCACACAGTATATTTTCCGGCTTCAGATCGCGGTGAGCGATGCCTGAAATGACAAGAGCAAAGAAATGGTTAACATATGCACATAATTATCAAACATTCCACACACAATTAATTTTTTCCAAATGCTGTTGTTCGCAGATTAATTCCCAATTATGGTACATTAAAAAATCAACGAGCTGCAGGAGGCAGAAGTAACCAGAGACGAACCAAAAGCACAGTTGATTCTGCAAGTTCTTTTGAAGCCGAAGCTTTAGAAGTCGGGCAGGGATAAGAAGGGGGCTAAATGAATCCCAGCTAGCCTACCTCTCAGCACTGCAGTGACAACCAAGAATAAGAGCCTAATATGAAGCAGAGCAAAGAGCCCTGCAAATGGCCATGCTTGAAACCGCAATGCAGAAATAATCATTGCCTTGTTTAAGAGCATCTCAGGGGGCTGAAGCTGCTCTACCTCATTTCTTCTTGTGTGGCTGACTTAAAAAAAAAATGATTCCCTAGGTGGGACTCCCTGCATGTTCAGAGGACCAAGTGTTAGTTAACAAATCTTCCAAAGCTTGTCCAATCCCCTTCTCACCTGCTCTGCATGTCCAAGACAGTCCTGTCGGAAGCACAGCAAGGACTGCTTTGGCTCGAGGGTACTGTTCTTAAGAGACACCTCCCTCCTCTGCATTTTGGCGAGACTTCCTGGAGGAGACACAGGCAGCAGCTTACTCCATGAGGGGTTAAAAGCTGCTGACCTGGCCAAGAAGGCACGTGGGGAAAAACCACCTTCTGACCAAAGACAGGGACAGAGAACCAACTCATAGGGCGTGGTGGACACAGAAACTCCATCTCTCTTTCCTTCTGCAGAATGCACAATGCAGAGACAGAAGGGCTGGAAGGCTGAGCAAGAGCCAAAGAGCTGGTGCTCAGAAGTACTGGAAAGTAGCAGAGGATTCACGGAGTCATAGGAAAAAGCAGAATCTGCTTTCCTAAAACTCCCTTGATGACCAACTTCTCAGGCCGCCCTCCAATTTCCCGCTAGGAGGCAGAGGCCCAGCCCACCCGAGGCACTTCACCAGGGAGGGAAAACCTGAGCTCCAGTAGGCTAAGTAACTTCATCAGTCACCTAATTGAATGAGAACCCAGAGCAACTCAGTCCAGGCTATACAAATTGAGTCGGGCTACAGCTTGCTGCACTAAAAGTGAAAGATATTTTCCATTACAGCAAGTGCTCCCACAGAAGGATCACGAGCCACACATGGAGCCTTGCTCTCCAAATGGGTGCTGATGGCCCAGTCATCCCCCAGCCTGAGAACTGAGTGCCATGCCGGAATAATGGACCCGCCTCTGTGAACACGCCGGCCATCGAGCTGCTCTGCTTCATTTCCCAGAGGTTAAGCTGCAGCATGTCCAGTATTTAAAAGTGCGGAACTTGTTTCCGGGCTGACCCATTCCTGCCCAATCCATCTTCCCAGTGTGAAGTTATTTAGAAAACAGCCAAGTTCAGCTAGAAATTGTTTTTCACCCCAACTTCAAGTCACACGGGCAGCTGGTCCGCTAGATGGTAGCAAGCACTTCAGAACTCCTAACACCACACCAACTCTGTTCCCTTTACTGCCTCAAAATAAATAAATAAAAAATAAAACCGCCTCTGCCCCCCTCTAAGGTATGGGTCTTGCAAAAAGCGTGACCCAGTTTTGCAATCTGCAGAGGCAGCTTGGGGAACAGTTGTAAATCTTTGTCAAGCAGGTGTTACCTACATGCATCCCGGCTTTCAGAAACAGAACTAGTGCTATTCATCATGCTGGGGAAAGTACAGACACCCCTTCTAGGAACTTGCGTCCCATGTGCCAGTCAGGCGTCCAACGTGGCCACTGTCAGCGTGGAGATCTCCCTTCAGCCACAGGAGGAAACGAGGTAGGACCAGTGAGGCTGAACTCCCTGCACACATGCCTCCAGCATGCACTGAGCTGCTGGCACAAGGTGGGATGTGTGCCCAGAGCGCCTAGAAGTGGCCTGGGGCTCTCACAACCTATGTGGCCGGCCAATATCCATAATGGGGAAGGGAGCAGAGCTAAGTTACCAACTATTCAATCCACCCCCTCCTGTCACCAGACAGATGGCTTTATTTTAAGGGAATTAATATTAGGAATGGAAATGCTTTCTGTCTGGCGGCGGATCAGGGTGGAGGAAGGAACACTCTTGCAGAACTACTACATGCCGGGCACTGTGCCCCAACTGTGTTATACATACACGATTCAGACACAGGCCCACACCACTCTGTAAGCGAGCGAGAATAGTGCCGCACGCTAACCAGAGCAGCATTTAACTACTGTTGATGAAGTAATTACCTCTCTTCTCACTGTAATTCTGCGGGAAGACATCATTACTGAGAGAGCACATAGCTGGTAAAAAGGTAACGCTAGAATTCGTTTTTCCATGGCACTGCTGTTAGGCACATTTTAAAAATGTAACCATCAGGGCGCCTGGGTGGCTCAGTTGGTTAAGCGACTGCCTCGGCTCAGGTCATGATCCTGGAGTCCCGGGATCGAGTCCCGCATCGGGCTCCCTGCTCGGCGGGGAGTCTGCTTCTCCCTCTGACCCTCCTCCCTCTCATGCTGTCTCTCATTCTCTCTGTCTCAAATAAATAAATAAAATCTTTAAAAAATAATAAAATAAAAATGTAACCATCAGACATATTTATGGAAATACAAAAACAATTTGTAAAAAGATTTAATTCACTATCAAAGTTCTTAAACGATCAGTCTTAGATAAGGGACTGTAAACTGAAGTGTAATTCAGACAACAGCAACCTGCAATTTACCATCATGTTCAACAGATACCTCAAACTTAACCACATTAGTAGAAAAATGCATTTTCCATTTATTGTGAACAAGATATAAAACTAGATATATACTATCATGCTGATTTTGAAAAGAGAGATACAGGTGACATATTTTAAAAGACTAGAAGGGTGTGCCTGGGTGGCTTAATTGGTTAAGTGATCTCAGCTCAAAACAAAACAAAACAAAACGAGAAGGGGCACGTGGGTGGCTCAGTTGGTTAAGCGACTGCCTTCGGCTCAGGTCATGATCTCAGGGTCCTGGGATCGAGCCCCGCATCAGGCTCCCTGCTCGGCAGGAAGCCTCCCTTCTCCCTTTCCCACTCCCCCTGCTTGTGTTCCCTCTCTCGCTGTCTCTATGTCAAGTAAATAAATAAAATCTTTAAAAACAAAAACTAGAAAACACCCAAATATTTATACTAGAATAGTATTATGATGAGGCTTGCATCTTTCTAGGACAGGAAAAGGAGATCATCCATACCCACACACTCATACATCTTATTCGTCATGAAATTTAGTCTTTTTTCCCCCGTTCTTTCTCCCATGTCTCTACCCTTCTTAATAGCACCACATCTGCCTGCCATCCAAATCCAAAGCCCAGCACCATTCTGGCTCACTCCCTCACCCTCATGCATGGGGCTGTGAGCTGCACTAGCTCCTGGCCTAGTTCTCTGCCTGATCTGCCCCTCCCCTTCCGTCCCCAGAGGCTGGCTGGTCCAACCCAATCACCGAGGCAAAGGCCTGGTTCACCTTTGGTGTGCAGGAAGTCAAGCGCAGTGGCCACATCCCGTACCACTCGGCTGGCTTCTCGCTCATTGAAGTGCTTCTGCTTCTGGATGTGGGCCAGGATGGAGCCTGGGGAGCAGAAGAGACACACAGGTATGACGTTTCGGGCCCTAGGAAGTATAAGTTCTCAGAGGTCAAGTCTGCACAAGTTTGGGGTGGGGACACAGCCTTATTCATCACTAAATGTCCAGCACCAAGTGTGGTACTTGGCACAGAGGAGGTACCAGCACAAAACTGGACTGAACATGGGGCGCCAGGGTGGCTCAGTTGGTTAAGCAACTGCCTTCGGCTCAGGTCGTGATCCCAGAGTCCTGGGATCGAGCGCCGCATTGGGCTCCCTGCTCAGCGGGAAGCCTGCTTCTCCCTCTCCCTCTGCCTGCCGCTCCCCCTGCTTGTGCTCTCTCTCTCACTATCTCTCTGTGTCAAATAATAAAATCTTAAAAAAAAAACTGGACTGAACAGAACTGGACTGCCATCTTCTGTGCCTGCCCATGATGAGCACAGAAGGGAGAGAAAACAACTATTTGCATGACCAAAAATATTAATGCCATTGAGGCAGATCTGGCTTCTGAAATAAGAAAGAACTAAAAGTGAATCCACGTGAGGTTGGGGGGCCTCTCCATAGGAACATTTCCTCCTCTGCATCTGATCTCAGATCCAAACAAGAGCACAAGCCTTCAAACAGAAATGCCACACCCTCAACAGATATGTAAAGGTCTAGAAAGTCTAGAAAAAGGGGGAAAAGTGCTTTCCCTCTGACTTTCCTATTTATTATTAATAATATTATTTTTTGTTGGCAACGGCTAACATTTATTGAGTAGTTACTATGTGCCAGGCACTATGTAGTAGTCTTCAAATAGATTATCTTAGCCTTAACCACAACTGTGCAAATTGTACAAAATATAGTTATCTCCGTTTTATAGATGGGGAACCTGAAGCCAAGAATGGCTAAGCAACTTGCTCGAGATGACACACCAGTAAGTGGAGGCATCAGGACTTAAGCCCAGTAAGTCTGGCCTTAGAACCTGTATAGACTGCCCCTCAACTGGATGTGTAGTCTGACTGCTGGAGGCATGGGCTGCCCTGAATCAACCAGTCTCCTTACCTACTGCAGTGGCTCTGGCCTCAGCAGGGCTGCACTCTAAGCAATACATTTACAGATGATCCCCAGCATTTTAAATGTAATGTCTTGGTGGTGCTGAGCAGGGCAAGGGCATGAGCACATGGCCTGGCTCCATGTGCTCTGTGCTCATGACTAGAAGTCAGTATTTCTGGGCTGGAGGGGTTATCTCTGCATCTTAAAAATGGCACAGGGGCGCCTGGGTGGCTCAGTCGGTTGAGCATCCAACTCTTGATTTTGGCTCAGGTCATGATCTCAGGGTTCTGAGATGGAGCTCTGTGCCCAGCGTGGAGTCTGCTCGAGATTCTCTCTCTCTTCCTCTCCCTCTGCCCCTCCCCCTGCTCGCTCTCTCTCAAATAAATAAATCTTTTTTAAAAATGGCACATATTTACTTATTGCTGGGTTTTGGCATAGGGAAGGGATAAAAGATCTTTCACTTGTCAGATTAAACAATGAAAGGATCCCGGCATGCTAGGGAACATTCCCAGATAACTGGCTCCTGGCTAGTCTCATATTCGCTCTACTGTAGTGAGTCTCTTGCTTCCAAATTTGTTAAAAGGGCAGATAGACAGTAATATGCTACCCACTTCTAAGATAGCCTTTGGCATACCCAATTGTTTTAATAATATTAATAGCTGACATTTATTGGACCCTTAGTGCCCATAGGGCACTGTGCCAAGCATGTCACATGAATGATCTCACTGCACCTTCAGAGCTACTGAAAGAGGTAAGTGCTGTCATGATCCCTATTTTACAGATGAGAACACTGTTTAGAAAGGTTATGTGACTTGCCCAAAGTCACACAGCTAGTAAGTGATGGAGCTACACTTAAATCCAGCTTTGCTGGGTCTAGAGCATGCTCCCTTAATCACCAAACCCCTCCACATGGCCCCCCACTCAGCTCCAGATATCCTCCCTAACCTGCACCCTGCAAATCTGTCCTCAGGCTGGGTGAGTGATGGTGAGGGCAAGGGCTGCTCTATCCCATTCTCTATATCAGAAAAGCAACCTGAGTACACGTTCCAGTGATTGTGGGTGTGGGTGATGGCAGCAATGGTGATGGTCAAGAGTGGCATCTTTCCATCTGAAGGATACAGATCCTCAGGCCTCCTCTCTATCCTGGGTCTACTTCCTAAGCCATGGGACCCTCCTCTCCTCTGGTGAGCCTTTCTGGACTTCACAACGTATGCAAGAGTTTCCACCCCATAATTAGTTTAAATAGTGAACACATCAAAACAATGGATTGATAAATTGATGCCTAAATGTATCTATACATGAGTCCTATTACAATGAGAAGGCATTTATAGAATGTCCACGCAGGTGACATTCTAGGCTCTGCAAAATGCTAATTAACATCCTTCCCTCTGGCCTCCCTTCTCCCAAATCAAGGGCAGTTTTAAGTCCTTCATCCTTTTTATTAGCTTGACTCATTTTAGAAGTCTCTGGGATTCATGATGGATGATCACCACCCTGGGTCTTAATCAGAAGTCCAAACACATACTCAACAGTAAGTACCTCCTTGCAATTTCTCAAAGACCAAGTAAAACCTTGTGTCATCTTCAAAGAACTCAATCAGCTCCAAAATGTTCCTTAAATAGGAAAAAAACAGGAGGAAAGGGAAAAAAAGGGAAATGATATTATATATTAAAGCCCACTTACAAATATACAATGAAAAAAATATACAATGCCCTGTAGCAGGGCAGAAATCAACCTGAAATCAGAATGCTTATTAAAGACCCATGTTTGAGAAGTAGCCAATGGTGTTAGCAAGACTCAGGTCACCTTATCTTTCCATAATGTTCAGTCTCTGGTGTTTTCACCAAGTCTGTGCTGTCAAACCCCAACCCTAAAACCCACTAGGTAGAGTTATAAAAAAGTCCCGGTCACATTAAACTGAATAAAATCTGCAGCCGACTGGAAGCAATTGCGGCTAATAACACTGAATAGTAGGTGTGTGTCCTGGAGGCAAGCAGCAAATAATTACTTGCCCTCCCTCTTGCCCATAAATCACAGGGCAGTATTTACATTGCCTGGAGAAAATGGAAACATCTGTCAAATAGACTTGGGGCCTAACGTGGGCACCGCTAGACCCTAACTGCTAAGCGCTGCTTAATGAAACGGCCGCGTTCCCGGCCGCCGTAGCACTTGTGGCCTTCCCCGGTGAGCACTCTGTCGGCCTGAGCATTACCCCGCGCCGCCAACAAGGTCGTCTCGGAACTCAGGAGGAAAGCCGCCGGCCTGGATATCGGACGTGTTGGGGGCTTTTTTTCTTTTAAAGAACGAAATAAACCAAGTAGAGGCTCTAATGCTGAACTCAGAAGCTGCAGGGCTGAAAATAAAAATCTGTCCCTCATCAAAAAATGCTGACCACTTTGGGAGACACCAGGCTTTCACTAGTGTGAAGGCTTCTAAATAAGATGACTAAAATGGCCTGATTTGAAAGAAGATTGTAGAAGCAGCGCCTGGAGTTAAATCAACAGCAGCCCCCATCCTCCAAGCTTAATGACAAAGCCATCAATACCTGGTCACTGGCTCCCCGCTGACCCTGCTGTGCAGGGAAGAGGGGGGAAGCAGAGTCTTAGAGGTGACCCTGATTTAAAGCCACCGCAGGAGAAGCACTCATTTGGAGCTGGTGGTGAGCCGGCTGAGGCGGGGGCGGAGACCACCTTGGCCCAGCTGGCCCGCAGAGTGCTAGGCGGGCGCCCGGAGCCTGAGCGGCGGCCGCACACACGCTAACATGCTGGGTACGGAACACGGTGGTATTCGTACTAGCTCTCATTGTCCTCATCTAGTCATGAAAGCTGGGCCCTCATGGTGTGTGCCGGGCGACACTCGGTCAGCCTTGTTCCCACAGGCACTTGAAGGAGGGAACCCCATATTCTCCCAGCCCCTCATTCGGATCGCTCTCTCTTCCAGCTTGCCTGGGTTGTTATTTACAGTACTTCAGCCTGAACGGAAGCAAAGGCTCCTGCCGCGTCTCCTCTCCCCTCTCTCTCTTAAACACGGAAAGGCAGAAGGAATCCTCTGCAGTTGTGGCCAAGGCATGTGAGCTAAATGCTGGGGTCAGGAGGTGGTAAGAAATGACCTTTTCTACAGCTAAGCATCCTCCCAAGAGAAGCAGCAAGTAGCCCAAGACTGTACTCACTTGTTTCCTTGACACTGATAGAGCGTCTCCACCTCTCGAAATACCCTACTCCGGCTATGCCCTGCTTGTTTTTCGATGATCTATGGAAAGAATAAAATCTGTCATACCCACCTGACCTTGAAACACCTCTCAGCAGGAGCCCTCTGGGAGAATGCAAGGCCCAATTCAGCCCACATCCAGTTTCAAGCACGAGCGTGGAGGAGGTCTTGGTGACACAGGCACCGTGACTCTGCCAGCAACACACGAGACCGGCCCAAGCTTTCCAGCCTGGCTGGGGCCTATTTTGACTCTGGCCAAGCAAATACTGTGGAAGCCTATGGGGACACTGAGGCAGCCGGCAAGAAGATAAAGAGCTACCTCTACCCAGGTCCTACCTCAAGGGCATCTCCTCCTGTCTTAAGGGTGAGATTTACAACCTCCACTGAAGGATCTTCCAGGGTTGGAGGAAGAGCAAGGGGGCTGGAGGACGCAGTGGAGAGGAACTAAAGCTCCAAGGCCCAGCTCAGACTCTACACCTGCAGTTCTGCAGAGAACGTGCCCTTTGGCAGTAACTCAGGTACACAGTCTCAGTTAGTTCTTACAGCGCAATCCCAAAAGACAGGAAGAGGTCAAACATTTTGTCCACAGCTCTGATAAGTGGTAAAAGTGTTGGCACTCAAGTCCAGAGCTGCCTCCAAAGCCCTTGCTATCCTATCCCTGTCTATGTCCCATGCAGTTTCTCTCAAGGAACCTAGAGACACTGTCTCTCCCACCTATACCTGGAGATGCTTGGCAAGTAGGAACTGAAGGCATGGGTGAGCCAATAGATGAGCACGTGGTTTAAGCAGGGACTGGCTAACTCTGAACATCTCCACAGACCCATCAAGAGCCCCAAACCATTGCGAATAGAGCCTGGGGGAAAGCCTTCTGCAGAGCTGGCTCTGCCTTACGGTCCCACGTATGGAGTGGGCAGCACAGATGGTAACACCCTGCTCCTTCATTCCCAGACCGCTGCGTAGAATACTTCAAACCACTCCCGTGTGTTATAGCACAAACACCCAGGACCAGGTGTAATATTCTATACAAGTCCACATCTGGTAGTAAACCACAGTGGGTCCACATTCTAAGCAGTCAGAGAGGTGCAGTGCTGGGGCACAGAAGCTATTTAACTCACTCATTTACCTAGCATTTCAGATCAAAGTCAGGAAGAATCTTCTAGCAGCAAGCTATTCAGCAATGGTATTATTTTCTCTGCAGAAGTAACGGGCTCCTGCTATCAGAGGTTAGGGTGCAGAACATGGACAATTATTTGAGGAGTTATGGAAGAAATTCAGGACCAGATTATCCTGAAACTCCGTTTCAACCCTGAGACTCTAGGATTCATCATTAGGATGCCTATAGGGAAGCCCTAATAAAACCCAATGTTGTGGGGCCATGCTGGGAGAAGTAGCCCATCTCTAGGGAGCTTCCAAGGGACAGGAGAGATATGAGATGTGGGTCGAACTGCTCAAACCAAAGAATTACCAAGCCAGGGTTCAGTGTTTGCACCAAAGATGCCCAGGGGCACAGAGGGCCGGGTTTTCCTCTTTATGATCCAACCCTGAAGAAAAAGGTCTGGATGGGTGCATAAATGTCCCCAAACCTTTGAAAATCAACTTATATTTGTGGCTTATTACCACACTTAAGCATATTTTTTAAAAATTACTTGTAATTTATACTGATGTTTCCAAAAAGGAATTGAGGTAGTACTTTTGTTACCATATGAAGCAACACTCCAACAAAAGGGAATGTGGCTTAAGCAGAAGTGTTCCCCTTTATTAACCCGCAGCTGGGACTATGGCCAGTTGGTCACAGGAAGAAACACTTCTCTCAGGAGCCAATTTGGCTGGGTTTGCCTGTATGAGGCAGCACTTAGACCTGAGGGCTCAGGTGGATGATGTGAAATACATCTGAATTGCCCCCTTGGATTTAATGAGACCTTGTTTCTAGATCCGTGGTTCCCAAACTCTGGTGGGTATAAGAATCACCTGGGGAACGGCGTAAAAAATACAAAGACCCAGGCCCTATCCTCTACCAAGAAAACTGGGTCTCTGTGCTATTAGCTCTCCAGATGATTCTGCTCCACACTGAATGTAAAACAGCCCTATATCAGGGTTTTCCGAACTTCAGCAAGTATCAGAACCACTTGGAGACCTGGCTAAAATCATACTGCTGGGCCCACCCCTGGTTTCTGACTTAGTAGGTCTGGGATAGGGCCAGATAATTTGTATTTCTGACAAGTACCCAGGCAATGCTGATACTGCTCATGCAGGAACTACACTTTGAGAACCAATGCTCCAGATCCATCCCTTCTTCCATCTAGAGCTGGCAAATGGAAGCACCGAGGGGTAGGGTGAGTCACCACAAGGTCATGTAGCAAGGAGCCATCTCTCCTGCCCCAGAGCTGAGTGCTCAGTCCTCATTATGATGATACTTTATAGCATTGTGTAATTGGTAGTGTTTCTACTTCCAGTTCATTTTTATTTTCATCTTCATAACCACTCCGTTGAGACAGGAAGGCCGGGTGTTGTTATCCTCATTTTAGAGATGTGGGAACTGAGGCTAAAGGAGGTTCAGCGACTTGCCCAAAGTCAAGTAGTAGTTTGGTAAAACAGAGATTCGGATTGGCCTTCTAATTCCAAATCTGGTTGTCTACTCCGTGAAGTTTGCTCCATTTTTCAAAATAAGAAGCAGCAGCTAGACATTGTTCTAAGCACTTTACACATATTCTATCCCCACATCAATACTCTATAGTTCCCATGATTACACCCATTTTACAGAGATGGAAACCAAAGGACAGAAGTGTTAAGTAACTTGCCTAATGTTACACGGCAAGTAAGTAGAGAAACAAAGAGTTGAATCCAGTGAGTCCCGCTTTGGAGTTGCCATACTGCAGAATATGAAATGTATCTGGCTTAGGCCCAGCTAGGACTGACTGCATGGGAAGTCAAGTCTGGCATCCAGATGAGACACTCACTTTGACCGCATACTCTTTGCCATTCTGCAGGCTCACAGCACCTTGAACTTTGGCATAGGCTCCCTCTCCAAGCAATTCAGAGGTCAGCTTGTACATATCTAGAGGTAAAATGGGTGAGAGGAATAACGATAAGTCACGCTTTTGCAAGTTCAGATGGAGGAAGAGCTTTTGTCACTCCGCTTCCCTGGTGTGACAGCATGGGCACACACAGGGACTCTGTAGTGCTCAGTGGCAGGGAAGACCATTAACTCTCCAGCCATCGCAGGACTCAGTTTCTCAACAACCAGACCACATCGAAGGCATCCTATTCCTCATTTTAAAGATGAGGTCAGTGAAAGAGTTTCAATTCGGCCCATGCTCCCTGAGTACCTACTATGTGCCACACAACATATTAAATTCATAATAGGGACAGAGTGAGGAATAAAATACAGTCCCTGCCCTTTGAGGGTCACAGTCCAGTGGGGAAGACAGACATGCAGACAAGTGACTCCAGAATAAACCAGGCACTAGTAAGTCCTATCATAAAAGGACAAGACACAGTTTAAAAAAAAAAAAAAAAAGCAGGGGGAGGGAAAGGTTAAATCTGTGTAGGGAAACTAGGGGATCCTCAGAGAAGGAGTGTGATTTCAGTGGACATCATTCACTCATTTACTTATTGGTTGAGCACCTGCTCTGTGCCCAGCGCTGTGCTAGGCACAGGTGACACAAAGGGGAATGAAGCACTGTTTTACTGTATACCAAACACAGAAGTCACTGGAGGTTTCTGAGAAGTTTCCAGAAGTCACCCACAGGAAACAGGAGACAGAAGTAGGATGCAAACGGACACCTTGAGGTTTTTAGGGTGCTGACTCAGGGCGGTTCTAACGGAGTAATAGGCCTGGGGTGAAAGAACATTTAGGTGACCTGCCCAAGCTCACAAATAGCACAGACTCTTTGAGCCCCTTTCAAAGGAAGCCACAGCTCCATCATGGCCTCTGCTGAGCTGACCTCCTCCTCCCTTGACCTCCATTCTTCAGTGTTTCCTCTTGAGGCAGCCCAGCATTTAAACCCACAGGGTGAGCAAAACACTTTTATTTTTTTTTTATTTTTTTTTTTTTTTAAAGATTTTATTTATTTGCGAGAGAGAATGAGAGACAGAGAGCATGAGAGGGAGGAGGGTCAGAGGGAGGAGGGTCAGAGGGAGAAGCAGACTCCCTGCCGAGCAGGGAGCCCTGATGCAGGACTCGATCCCGGGACTCCAGGATCATGACCTGAGCCGAAGGCAGTCGCTTAACCAACTGAGCCACCCAGGCGCCCCAAGCAAAACACTTTTAAACCATGAAATTAGATTTTATCACTCCTAGCATGAGAGGCCTATAATTGTACAAGCCATCCTCGAATAACGGAAATACTCTTGTGTTCACAGAAAGAACAAGACTTGTTGATTTGTCCACCCCACCCCTTTACACATATATCTACAGTTTAAGTTAAAGACAAACAAATAGACAAACCCTACACTAAGTACCTTCTCCAGTCCAACACGGCATGGTCTTGCAGCTGTTTATAAGCATGCACACTGTTGTTTCTACGTATTTTAAATGACATGCTTCTCTCACAAAGGATACGTTGGTATTAGCCTTTCGTGCATGTCAGGATAGGTTGGTCGTTGGAAGTCCAATATCCCTGATTCATAAAGGGCTTGTTATTAGAACCACTCTACAAAACAATCAATTCACTAGTCTATCTGCCACGTTGGAAAGAGGGACCATGAGGGGAAGCTATTTCAGGTCTCACAATGAAAGAAACATAATAGGTGAAGGGGGCACGTCACTCCTGGAGTAGCTACTGACCGTCCAGTCCTTTGCAAAATTGTACAATGATTCACCTCATGCCATCGCATGCCCAGCGATGACAGGACCAGCACTGAGCCTGTGCCTCACACAGTGTTCAAAATCTTTGATGATCCAACACTGTATCCCCTGAACACAGCATGTGCTCTTAAAATGGAGTCAAGGGGCGCCTGGGTGGCTCAGTCGTTGAGCGTCTGCCTTCTGCTCAGGTCATGATCCCAGGGTCCTGGGATC